AAATAGATGACGCAAGCTGTAATGATAGTTTTATCACTCTGTCTTCCTGCTCCATGATTGTTTTCAAAATGAGAGTTTTATCAGAGAGGAGCTGACAGATTTTTGATTTAGATTGAGTGAATTTCATTGCACGTTAATAGACAGTAAATAGCCTGCAGTCCTGCTGTTTAGGATAGGCAGCAAACTCATACACGCTGACCTCTAAACGTGTTTTTTACCTTTTCGTTTTTACCTCTGTTCCCTGCTCTGTTTTGCCTTTTATCGTCTTCTCTCCTTTCCAAGGTTCTCGCAAGGATATACACTGTAACGCAGTGGTGTAATGTTGCATGACAAATGAAGCCGCTGCGGCGCCAAAAGACATAAAGTTGAATTAAGGGTTGATTCGGATTTTAGTGTTTTTTTAAAGCACCTGACTCAGTCATCCTAAAATGGATTATGTTGGTTTTGATCTGGCTAATCACAAACTGAATCTGATTAGGGAAATCTCGGTTTGTTTTCTGATACTACCTCATGAGCTAATCTGACAGAGCAATTGCAGCTCATTATTCATATAAATTAACTTCCACGAATTACAAGGTGCTTAAAATCATTCTAAGAACACAGCACTACTTAGCAAACAACGTTTCTGGTATTGTATTTATTACCTGCCGTGAACCTGAAAGTCACATTTGTCCAAGTTATCCCAGTTTAACCAGCGACTACTGAGCTTTTCTTATCCCTCAAAATTCAAGGCTCCTTTCTCAGCAGCCCAGTTGTTTGCGAGGTGTTTATTAAAAGCCACAAAATGGGACCTTCTTAGCTTCATAATACAGAAAGTACCAGTGCGGCGAAGGGAGGGGAGGAAGCGCATCATTTCAACAGGCTTGACTGACGGTGAATTGGCATTAACAAATGGGCTGTTTGCCAGTTTTTAAACAGATTAGATTGTTCTCATTTATTTTGTTACCTAGCAACCAGTACGGATTTACTGTGTAACACATGAATTAAAAACTGATTGTACAAGCAGTCCCTCTAGTTCTTCTGAGCAAAAAAAATATATAAATATACATATTCTGCTCAACTATTTTTTTTGACTAGTTGCAACTTCATTAATGATTGAATGATTTTTCTTAGCAATACGACCACGCACGTCAAAGAGGCTTTTCCTAGTTTTGATCAGAATATGGTGCTCATGTGGAACAGTGATAAATCTGGTTACTCATATTCTAGATAAATTCAAGTATTCCAGTAGATGAAGATACGCAGCTGTGACTGGAGGGATCGGGTTGTCACGGTGGAGTTAAGTGACATTGAATTTTAAGAACATTTCTGTATGAGTAGGGCATCCTTTTACTGGCTGTGTGTCACAGGTGAGCAGTTCATGAAGCTACGTCTGTGTAGGTAGTTGGCAGTGGTCAGAAACCACAATCAGATGGATTTATGCACCAGACCTTTATATGCTTCACAAACCTGATTCTAGTACACATGTAAATGCAGTCATTGTCTCACAGTTTATTTTTATTTTTTTTATATTCTTGAATTATAAAATGTGTTTTGCAGCAGTTTTTTTCCCCAGTACTCCTCTTTGTAGCCTCTGATTTCACTCTTTCTCTCTTTTTTTTGCCATATAGTAGACATATTTACCTTCTTTCACACAATGGCGCTGTCTAAGAAGTCTTACACCCCGGATATAGTCCGTGGATCTGTCTCCTCCCCTTCTGCCTGTTACCATTTTACCTCCGAACCAGAAACCCACATGCTGAAAATGGAGATTTGTGTTGTGCCATCACACAGGGGTCTTACATCTCCCTCTGATTTTTGTGGCATGTTATTTGCAGGGAATCGGGCATTTCTTCTCCCCACATGCAAGTGTTCCACCAAAACGAGCCCCTCTCCCTATCTTGCAGTGGCACCATTGCTGATTCATGGCCTTAGAAAAAATACAAACAAGCCAGAATGTTTTTCCCCTATAGCGGAAAGATAATGGCTGCAGTCTTCTCCAGAGCTGACACAGCGCTGTGGAGGCGACTATGGGAGACGACTATCTAAGCAAACAGACTTTTTTTTCACCCCATGAGCCTGAATGACAGAAGTATCATCCAGCTTCTCCACAGACTGCAGCACAAATTAAATACAGGATTTTCAGATTAAGACAAAAACAAGCATATATTTTTTTCTTTTACAATTGACACCACAAACAAATAATTTATAAAACTGCATTCAGCTGAGTCTTCTATCTCTTACAGTATAAAAATTTGAGTAATTGGAGTTATGGTCTTTGACTTGTAGTACAAGCCTGCGAGAAGTGTCTCAGCTGAATCTGTGTCTCCTCAGCAGAACGTGCTTAAGATCACCATGGCAACCTCAGAGGGCGGATTGTGCACAAACAGTTGGTTTAGATCTGTTGATTAAACAACTTCTCTGATGTCTGAGGTTTAGTTTAACAGTTTTCAGTGGAAACATCTATTTTAGTTCATTTTCAGTCAGGAGACATCCATTCTGAGACGTGCCTGTTTTCACGCGTGAGAATGTCAAACGTAAAGACAAAGACTGACAAAGACTTGTGAGCTACTTGGAGATGCTGTGTCAGTGTGAGCGACATTTGTGAAGATGCCGACTTGATGGGGTTTTGATCCTCTCTTCTTTAAGAGAACCAGCTACTCTGGAGTGTTGATTTACTGGACAGATTACAGTGTTGAGGACATTCCGGTATCACAAAAAACATTTCTTCATATTTTATTAGAGAGATGAAGCAGCGTAATTTATGCTTCACTTGCGATGATATCTCTCTGTCACAACTCTTATTTATTCTTTATCTTTAGTCTACAAGGACATTTGTCTTTTGATGTTGATCATTACATGCGAATAAATACAAAACGAGCATGACCACAACACCAAGCTTTTCTTGTCATAGCTTGGAAAATAATTGCACAGCTCCCTCGCACTCATATTAAAGCAGTAAACTACCAAACATAACACAAAAGTAACACATCAAAGAGCTTTGATTCTCCCAGTTTGTTCACACAAACATCACGTCTCTGTTGGTACTAAACTATGTAATCTCAAGACTTTACTTCTTGGTGAAAATATGTCTGCAAATATGCATTAGGAATAAGATTTTGTGTGTTTGTGTGTTTGTGTTTGGTTGTTTGTGTTACAGGAGCGTGATGGAATGCGGGCGATTCTAGAGTCTTATGACAGCGAGCTGGCTCCTACCGAGTATTCACCTCAACTCAGCAAGCGACTCAGAGAGGCAGAGGACATACTGCAGAAGACTCAGAACCACAATGCAGAGATGGAAGTGCGTGTGCACACATACATCATACAAAACATACTGTATATTCCCAGTGCTCTCCTTTAAATACGTTTTTTTATTGGACAAATAAACTTTATTATGAGACAAATAAACTTTATTATTAGACAAACTTGTATTCAGTTGTATATATTTGAGTATATATCACTGATTTTCACAACTGAAAGTCAGAATCAAGGTTGATTACATCATTGAATCCAGTTGAAAAATGAATAAATAACACACTTTGATTGTGTCAATACTGTAAATCAGTAACAACAAGTCGTTTTTCATGCTTGTGCTTTGTATCTGTACCTCCCCTCCTTTCTTCCCTCCTCCCCTCCTCACCCCTTGTGTTGTTTTTTCAATTCAGACCCAGCTGAGCAAAGCACAGGAAGAGACGATGACACTCAAACTGCAGCTTCAAACAGTTAGTATATATATGTTCACACAATCCAGTCTAATAAAACAGATATGTACGAATGGTTGTTTTACATTGTTTGAGCCTTGATTATTATTAAAGTGATCACAGACATTGTAGCCTCTGCCGTTAGCACTTACAGCCGAATGGTGGGGCATGTTTGTTTCACATAATGTTGATTAACCTATCAGCACCAGGTAAATCTCTCTCTCCAGCCATACTGACACACCTTAAAACATATCACATGCCCATTCACGTACAGTTCAAATCTGATGTCTGGTGAAATTCTTATGCTGGCACTGCTGCAGCGATGGGTTTTATGTCAGCCAGCAATGACTGGTTTGCCAGAGCTCAAGAGGGGAGCAACTAAAGCAATTGGGATGGACCAGGCTACAGAACCCTCACTCTCAGAATGGTCCAAGAAATGTTTCTGATGCTCCAGATAAAATGTATGCGGCACTCGAGGCATCACCAGTGTTTGTGTATCACTATCATTACTAGAAGAGGAAGACAACAGTTCTGCCCTGCAAATTTAAGCTGTCTCAAGTGTCTCTTAAATTGTGACTGTTATCCTGTCAGGTGTACTTTGCTTTACTGTGATTTAGGGATGCTTAAACACCTCTGTGATTTATATCCTGACGAATAAGACTTGTACACGGAGCCCAACTGTGACGATTGTCCAACAGACCTTTTCAAATTGAGCAACCACAGTACGATTTGCTTTCTTGCTTTCTGTCTCCCTGTTGTTACGTCCTGACTGAAGTGACACAAATTGCTATTGAAGCACCCTGGGTGATTGTCAGATTACAATGACCAGATACTTATGTCTTTGAGTGATATTTGCTCATTTTGTCAGATTAAATGGGCCAGTTTATCGGTTTCTTTTTCTTATTTAAGTGTTGTGGAAATTACAGAAAAGTTGCAAAAAAGTGGAGTGTATGTTATGGAATATATGATTTGAATCCAGGATAAGGTAAAGAGTTGGAAGGTGTGACTCTCTTACGCACACTGTGATTCTTTTCATGGCTCCTTGTTGCCAAGGAGACGTCAACATAACCATTGCAATGAGTATTGACGCGTGAAATCCACCTGTCTGGTGTAGCAGTAATTACTTATTCGTCTTGGGAAGACTGGGAGAGAGAGGATGAGCTGAGAGACAGACAGATGCTGTCAGAAAGAGAGGAAAATGGGTGTGCAAATGGAAATGAGGGATAATTGCAGAGGGGAGAGTGAGATCAGACAGAAACTAAGACATTCACAGACTAAAAACAAGTGCTCAGGGAAAAGAGTCGGGACATTCTGAGATGAAAAATTAGTAGGAGGACTAATGGCGTATATCTGTTTGTCTGGATGTCTTCCTGGAAAAGATAGCAGCTCACTGTAATAGAGTCCTCCACATTTATCTTCAGGCAAAAGGTTTGTGCCAGGCACATGGCCAAAGGTGGTCTGACATTAGTGCTCCGAGCCAATTTTCTTGTCTGTCTGTCTCAGGTGGAGCTGGAGCTGGAGTGTCTAAAAAAGCAGCAGGCCTCTGCGGCTGACAGCAGCTCTGTAATGACCAAAGAGGAAGTCAGCATACTCAGGTAGTTAGTGCACGCACACACGCACGCACACACACACACAAACAAACAATACCATCAAGTGAAAGGTTAACCCGCTGTGACTCACATGTGAGCAGTTCTTTACATCTAGGATTAAAGGTCCAGTGTGTAGAATTTAGTGATATCTAGTGTTGAAATGTCATGTTGCAGCTGAACACCCCTCACCTCACCCTCTCCTTCCAAACATGAGAAAGAACCTGTGATGAACTTTAATTGTCATAAAAACTCAAAAGGTGTTTAGTTTGTCCAGTCTGGACTAATGTAAAAAACATGGCGGCCTCCGTAGAGAGGGTCCCCTCGATATAAATATAAAGTATTTAGATATAAAGGATCTTTTCTGGGGTAAAGAAAAACTACAATTCATACAATTTAGATGAATCGAACTAGTGAAAACATCATGAGGATTATTCTCCATTAAATTTCTGCCAATAGTTCCCTTTCACTTAAATCTTACACACTGAACCATTAACCTATTGACTCGACAATAAGCATATTCACTAATTATACCTTGTATATATTCATGAAAATAAGTTAGCATGTGTGGATGCATTTTTTTCCAGACAAAAAATTGAAGATTTAGAGTCAGAGCGGCAGAAGTTGGAGGAGCAGAACAACATTCTGGAGATGAGGCTGGAGAGACACAACCTGCAGGTAAGAACCAAAACTTCCCTCAAACTGTTTTTTCTGTGATGGATTTACTCATCTGGCACAAAGGAACCAATTTAATAAACCCAAGGGCAGGAGCCCAGTCGGTATGACACTGCAGATTGATTCACCCAAACGCTACCCATATCTGACAGTTTTTCAAAAGCAATTGGACCCAGGTGTGACTCTAGCAGTGTCCAATGGAAAAGTAGTAGAAACTCTGGCTGATTTAAAGCCCTCCTTTATTGGTCGGAGGGATTAGAATGAGCATAACGGTTGTGGGGAGTGAGTTATTGTGACAATATATGTAGACATTACCCAGTGTCTGCTGTAAATGAAAGTGGATGAAATGAATTGTGGCAGGTAGCCACCTTAACATTACACAGACACACAAACACACATGCAGACGTGTGCATCAAATCCGGCTACTTTCATCTCGCAGAGCTGTTCGAAGAAACTCCCTCAGTTATACCTGATCCCTTCTCCTTTTTAAATTGGCTCTGAATGTGTGCGTGTGTGTTTGTGTGTGTTTCATCTCAGTCAGGTCCTCTAACTCCCCTGACTCACACTGTGCCAAAGTAAGTCTACCAGGGCACTTTAATGAAACGTGTGTGGGCAAGCGTGTTGGTTCCATTTAGCCGTGGGGTGAATGAAATCCATGTGTTCTCAAGCATGACCACCACTTTTAAAGCAATTGACAACTGCGTGTGTGTGTATGTGAGTGTGTGTGTGTGTGTGTGGGTTTCAAGGTTGCTTGGTCAATGGATCAGGTCAGTTCTTAAGAGTTAACTTTTATGACTCCTCCATGGTCTAATGCACACCAAGGGGCCCTTACATCAGACCGAGTGGAGAGACGAGGGACTGAATGAGGAGCATTTGAAAGGAGAAATGAATGGCTGAATGAATAAGCATGAGTGACTTACATTGGATGCTTGAATAAAGGGACAGCAGGGATTTTCATTATATCAACTTGCACTTCAGATTCCCGTGGCATAAGCCATGATTTCCAGCCCTGTCTATATATTTAGATCATACTGACTAGTGTGACTGTCAAGCGCTCAGATTACCAATGTAATGAGATGGCTCGGGCTGTCTGTCAGGAAGCTCTCCTGGGAAATTTGGATTTTCAAACATCTTTGTTATACACCTACAGTATATTTCAAGTACATACATACATACATACATAAAATTGACATTTTTAAATACCATTAAAACCATTTTTATTATTTTGTTATAATTTCTGTTGTATAATATCCGTATAATTCACCAGATTTTGTGCTGTACAAATGAAGAACGCAGCAGGAGATTGTTTGATGCGTTCACAATAAAAGGAACATTTTGAGTATGGCACCGGGTAAATCCCACAACGAAAATGACATGTTTTAATTAACAGCACATAGACACTAGAGTCCGTTCTCATCATCATCATCATCTCTGAATACTTTGAGGAGAATGTCTGCAGTTTTCTGAAAGCAGCACAGTAGTGATGAGTATCTTGTATTACTGGTTAGGTGGTTGCTTTCTGTCGTGCAGGTTCTCTGTCTCACACCAGGGGCCTGGATCCCAAAGACAGTTTATAGTACGTTAGCCAGCTTTCTTCGGGTTTAACTGAGGTTTTCCAGGATCATGATGTTGGCTCACTTTAGATCTCCATGGTAAAGTGACAAGACCAATAGAGAGACATCCAGAGTTTTGCATAAGCTCCTGCTGTCTAACAGATGGCCCGGCATTACAATATTTCTTTGCCTGCGACTTTCTTACAGTTTCAAGTCCTATGGCCCTCACTTTTTATAATGTTACAGCCTCAGATAGATATAAACTTTAACCTGATGCAGGATTTTAGTCATCTGAAGTCTGGATATTAAGTCATCAGAGAAACAAGATGAGCAAACAGCATCTCTTTCTTCTCCTTCTGACATCCTGTGTTCTTATAGCTTCACATCCCAGTTCAAACTCATTTGTTAGTTGTGTTTTTTTTACGTATATATTATTGTTTAAACTGCTGTTTTTTTACTTAATCCTCTCTGATGTATGGTTGTCATTTATCATGCTACCAAATGATTCCTCTCCAGGTACAAGCACATCTAGGTCTTGTCAACAGATAGCCACTGAGCCGCACTAGCCCCCCTCCACCATAAAGTTCTGGAGATAGGACAGACTTTCACACATGGACTACAACTATTGACTGTTTTGACATCTTCATGAACGCTATTCTCTGAATCTGTTGACTGGAGCATTAAAAAGATCCAACCATGCCAGCTCCCTTAAAGTCTGTGTAATGTCCGAAGTTTTAATTGAGTTGGTCTTTATCTGCAGAATTCTCAGTGGGCTAGTGGGTGTGTTGATAACAAACACGTTTCTCTCCAACACGTCCCTAAACTAAACCAATCTAGTATATTCAGTAGGTGCAAATGCGATGCACACACAGACAATCTCCTGTTGTATGCTGGACCTGTTCGGACCTAATTCTCCAGACATTGATCACAGGCAAAATCAATCACATCATTCTCACACCTGGGAGAAGGACAGAAACACACAGAAGCGGAGAAAGATGCTGAGGAGACTACACCTGGAGGACGAAGATACAGATAAAAAACATCTGGAATGCGGCACTAGCAGCCATAGGGACGGAGCGAGGTCCCAGGACGACCGATGGTCCAGCACAGAGAGTAAAAAAAAGAGAGGAAAAGGAGGAGAAAATAGTGGAGAGAGAGAGACAGAGGGAGAGATGGTCACACAGTCTGGATGCTCCTGTGCTTAAGGGACTAAACAAACAGAGGGTTGGAGAGATGCCGTAATTATCAGAAAGTTTAGAGTACTTTTGTTAGCAGGACACCATGACCGAGCCCCCGGCAGGAGAATGGTAACAGATAACAGGCCTTAAGTAATTAACGAGTAAGCCAGTAAGTGAAAGTTAAGGCAGAAAGATGAGTTTTAAGTTTGGATTTAAACGCCTCAACGGAGGCAGACAGTCTGATGTCAGCAGGGAGGTTGCTCCTAATGGGGCATGACAGGAAAAGGCCCTGCAGCCTGCTGACTTCTTCTTAAAACTGTGAAGCCTCAGTGTTTTTATTTGAAGAGCTGCTGGATTCTCAGTTTTTTTCCAAACATTTATTATTGATGATGACATAATCGTAAAAAGCCATTGTATCCTGTGCATCACCCTCTTTGTTTGGAACAGTAAATATACAGGCTTTATTAATTGTTTAGAGGTATTAAACCTTTTATCATTTGAGTAGCAAATCATAAACTTCAACATAAGCAGCGACAATTTGAGATGTGAACGGAATGTGCTGGATGATTGTTTCATTGAGTTGAAGGTATTTAAAATATTTCCACATTTGTCTGACAAGGCCATCTCCGAGAGCATGCTCAATTTTAATTCAATCTTATTATTAAAAACTAAAATGTTGTTTGCAGGCAGGTTTTCAGAGCCTGTCAAGAGCTGTTCTGCTCTCTGCTATTTGTGCTGTAAGTCTTATTTTAAGTAGCCCCTCTGTGGTTTGGACCCTGTTTTCTTTCTGGTTAGACATGACAACATCATCAAGCTTTCAGGAAAATACAGTTGAATTGAAGCCATTTTGATGTTTACCCATAACAAGTGAGAAGCAGTTGTTAACAACCCATAACCTACAACCTCCCCTCTTGTTGTATTCTTTTTAAACGGCTACAATGGTGGTAGACACTTCTGCACTTTGTCTTTGTGCTATTGCTGTCATGTCACGTGTCTAGACAGAAATAATTGTTGCCGTTGCAAGAGGTTGCATCAATGTAGATTCTGTTGCGCATGTGCTTACAGCCATGGCAACATTATGTTTAGACATTATTGTCAAATAGAAAGAGACACAGTTCTAGATGAGTTCCATCCTGAGTACGTCATGCTTGGAGCTAAGTAAAGTTTTTCTCCCAGTCCTGAGCAGTGGTAGTATTGTTAAGATTTAATGGTACTAATCTTTCGATATACTGCTTACTGAGGCAGTAATTAAATGGTACACTTCAGACGTTTAATAATCATCTAGTTAAGTTCATTTTGATTAATCAACTCATGTTCTTATACCTTATTTAACTCCTCCCTGTGTTCCCTCTGGCTGAAAACTTAAATATTATACTTGGGGTGAGGAAACGTGAATTACGAGGTAGCCCCTGTTAAACTGTACTTTTCTCCACTTGTGTGATGGAACGTTCACAAGGCATTTTGACTTATTGCTTGTGTTGCCTATATTGGCGTTGACACCAGTAAAGTGTAACCTCACTGATTATGTGTATGTGAGTTTACATCCTAAGAACCTTTTCAAGCACAAACACTGATCTTGTCAGGACAAGTACACATCATGAGGACCAAAGGCTGGTTCTGGTTTGTCATAGGATGTGAATTGCGGTTTGGCATGAATTGATCGTGGTTACGGAGTTTTAATAAGGCTGTCCACAATGAATGGAAGTCAATGAGAAGTCCCAACAAGGATAGCTGTGCAAATGCTGCACAGCACTGCTGCAGAGAGAGAGAAATAGAGTTGGATGGGGAACAGGGAGAATGCATCTTAGATTAATGCCTTAATCAGAAACAGAGTTGGTGAAATAAAACTTGCTCGGTAATAAATAGAAAATCTATTTTCCTAATTTCTTAATTTCCGAATGCAGAACCCATTAAGTCGGAGCTTATTGATACTATGGTCTTAAATAATTTAGCCCAGGGGCCGGTTTAAAATCTGGTTTCACTACCCACCCCTAGCAGTGATACATGGAGGCTTGAAAAGTTGTGGCAGTTTTACTGATAGAAAGGTTCTATCTTGTATCGCAGTATTGGAATTCAGAAAACAATCTAAGCAATGAACAAATCTAAGAAACGCGACTATATGTTTACGTCCTGCAAGTGATCCCTTGAGGCCGATAGGCAGAGTTTGTTCTCCATTTTGGCTTCTTAGCAGTGCGGCTAAAACTATAAAGTTAATGGTGAGTATGGGATTTTATGGCAATGTGGAAAGTATTGCCAAGATATTTTGCTCATC